TATATATATATACTGTATTTATCATATATGAAAATAATAAAACTCAAATATGTATATAAAATAATTGATTTTATTAAAAAAATTCAATTGTTTTCAATTTTCTTGCTTTTTATATTTATTATATATCATTTTTATCTTAAGAAAAAGATAAAAACAAAAAACTAGTAACAAAAAGACACTTTAAATAGATAAGACCAATGTAATATGCTAAAGTTTAAAAAGATATACAAATTAGTACTGTTCTGAGGTATATGAGATTAGATAAAAGAAACAATAGTAATTTATTTTTAAAAGTCAAGATATTTATTCAATAAAATATAAGTTTAAGCCTTTTAATTCCTAGATAAAATTGAAAACTTTATATACATATTTGAGTTTTATTATTTTCATATATGATAAATACAGTATATATATATATTCACATGTATACTGTATATATATCCATGTATATATATATTCACATGTGTATATATATCCATGTATATATGGCTGGATCTATCTTTTCTGATCATTACTAAATAGAGAAGTTGTTGAATATATACATTGAGACTGATGGTTTAATATTTTATGTTTATTTGATAGAATTTTTAGGTACTATGGGATGATTAATTATAGCATTTGACTAGTCAATAACAGTTCATTAACAATGAAAGTTGATATGTTATGTAATATGTTATTTATACTATGGTTAGATTTTTTATTAACATTAATATATTGTTAAGTAGAAAATAGAGATAAAAATTAAGATTTTGAAAATTTAATTTGAAATTTGGCTATATGTTTATATTATTAGTTTGAAGTATTAATTATTTGGATAATCAGGGATAAAAGAACTATTCACAGACAAGAAAAATGTTTGATTTTGATTTCTGGTTCTGGAGAAACCATAGTTTGCATAATTATTATCAATACAAACATCTGTCAAAGAATTCTAAGGTGACCATTTGGGAAAAATATTTTGAATATTTTGATTAAAGGTGAGAAAGTTTTGATGCAAGTCTATTATTATAGTTTTGTATTGATAGTTTCACACTATTTTACAATTTTTATTGGCATTATATAGGTTTTGTCCTTAACTATAATATTGGTAATTATTTATACTTTTAAATATACAAACTGAATAAAAGTAATATTTATCTACTAAAAAAAAAAATAAAAATAGTAAAATTTAAAGTAAGTTAATTTAATTTAATATATAATGCAAAAAATAATTTTTAAAAAAATCAATATTTAATATATATTATATTGGATTGAAAAAAGCTTTAAATTGTTGAAAAAAAATTAACATTATTTTATTTTTATAATTTTTTCAAAAAATTAATAATTTTCAAACTATTGCTTTTGATAATACTGTTATTAAAAAAATAATTTTATTTTAATAATAAAAAATCGATAAATCAAATACCATATAGTCATAAAGATATTAGCAATATTAATAATTATATTGAAATCAATGATTTATTTGAAAATTTATAAAAATATAATAATTCTATCCAACAAAAAAATCAAGTCAGATGTAGTAATCAAGTGTATTAACACCCTTTTAAATTTTATAAAACAAGATTTTAAATCTGATTTAAATAATAGTTATATAGAGGTTCTTAATTCAATACAACAAAAAATTTTAGAAAATTATAAATTTTAACTTTTTTTTATTTTAGATTAAATTAATGTTATATTATATTATATACTGTATGTATATACTTATTTATATAAATTAAATAAACAAATAATTATCATGTATAAATTATAAATATATATTTTATAATTTTTTGTGATAATATTTTTATCTTACACAACATTTAATTTTACTATCTAAATCAACTTTATTCAATCAAGTAAATATGTTTTTATAGCATTTAATTTAGTAATTTAGACTTATTTAAAATTATATATTATAACATGCTAACTTTATTAAAATCAAAAAAATGTTTGTTATCGATAGAATTTATTATGAGTAACAATTTTATTAATTAAATATTCAATATAAATTTATAAAATTCAATATATGAATAATTTAAAACATAATAAAAATAGTTATTAATTATAAATTGTTAAACCACTAGTTTAAGAAATAGAAATATTAAAAATTAGAATCAAAATTAAAAAAATTGTCACGCAAAATGAAATTCTAAATTTTATTAATAAAATATTGTTTAAAATAACTAAAACCTTCATTATATATATATTTAGTTGTCTATATTATACTTACTTAATACATAAAAGCATATTTGCTTAATAAAATAAAAAGTTTAATATGTAGTAACTTTTACGTTTAAAAAAGTTTTCAGATTTTTTCGAAAACCACCGTTATCACCCACCTTACAATCCGCACAAATAATATCAATCACCTTCTTACTATTACACTTCGAAAGCTTCCCTTTAAAATTTAAAATTACCTTACATCACTCGAAATCGGCCTCTTCAAACAGAGGTATTTAACAAAATAACTAATACCTTTGTAAGTAAAAATAATATTTTTTCTATCGTCATTCGAAATGTTTTCAAATTCTGATTAAGAAGTGTGCACAATTCGGTTTTTCTATCCTAAATAATATAAATAAAAATATTATTTTGGTTGAACTAAGTACTGTAATCATAATTCTCCTATCTCCTGAGATGACTGAAGTAACTTGCAGCAACCTCCCCACTTTCAGATTTCACCGTCGGATAAAAAGTTATATCTTAGGACTAAGAAAGGGGTGTCCCTAAGCTGTAAGCTTCGGCATCATGTACCAAATACATTCAACCAAATCTGAATGTAAAACCCAACATCGGATTACCGTCTAGAATGGTCGAAAGTCATCAAATTATAATTACCTTTCTTAACGTAACCGTTTTTATATTCATTATTTTCACTAGAAAAATAGACATAACTTATATTTATAAAGAAATTTTAAGTTCTTAAGTTTCTAAAACCCGGTTTCGGTCAGCGTTTTTTCCGGGTCTTCTCACACTCAATATCTTTTGATTTGCAGTTTGAGCAAATACCCCCATCATCACAGCAAATCCTTTTCCTAATACAACGAACACACGCCAATGTATTCTTTTTTTCTCAATTTCATTTTATCTGTCAAAAGAATTCCGATTTATTTATATGACATCGGAAAAACAATCTTAGAGGTTGCAGATTTTTACAAATTTTAAATTTAACTTCATACTTTAAATATCCGAATTCTAATCTAAAAAATCAAATATTTCATCAATAATATCGACATCCGTTTTATCCCTCTGTTTACCCATTTTTAACCCGCTTACGTCTTTCATCAGATTCGACAGAACTCACACACTCCAAAGACCTATTAACGGATAAAGAATTTATTTTTCGTATATCTCTACTCCCCAAATCGATCACGACAACATTAGCATCAAAGTATTCTTTAAAATCCTCATCCATATCCATCCACGGATCCTGATCGCGACTGCAGAGAATAATACACGGTTTTGGTTCATAGCATGTCTGCTTATGACGATACTTATCAGTCATCTCAAACTCCTCCTGACATCCTATAACCGGCTTCCATCTTTCGATATAATCAGAATTATATTTAAAATTCTTTTTATGAACCCACGTAAAATCATCCATTACAATATATTCAGCCTCCTTCTTCCATTTATCCAAATTATGATTACCATTCCAATAAATATGTTTTCCAAGACTCCGAGCCCACTTAGTTTTCCCTTTTCTCGTCTCCCCAATAAGCAACATTGACCTAGGACGTTCCGGTTTCGCCTTAAGATTTTCATTCACCCAAGCTCTCATCTTTGCAGTGACATTGAAATTCGCTGGCTGAAACTTCGAAGTGTACTCAACAGGTTCCTTCTGATTCAGATACTTCTCCATTAAAGCAATACTCATAAGCGACCTCGACCAGCTCGGAATCCTTTTATGATACTTAATAATTAAATCCTTAATCTTTACACCGTTAGTAAGATCCTTATTAACTTCCAAACACGCACGCATCTCATCATTGACGGTTCTCTCCGTATCCTCCTTAACATTTTCTATTTTCTTTAAAGAGCGATGTGACACAGGCACGCCAAATTCAAAATAAGTATTAGGATTCTCCACTCTCTTCCGCTTCTTCTCACCATTAAAGAGTTTATAATTTTTCTCCGTAATAATACCATAAGTGCCCCTATTCTGAATATACTCAGCTTTGCAATAATTTGAAGCCTGTTCAAAAGTACCCCAATATGTAATGAATTATCGCCAATCTTTTTCTTAATAGCATTCCGACGCATCCTTTCCTTAAGCTGCATATAATTCTGCAAACGTAATCGGTTCGTTTTCTCACATCTCTCAAACTGAGAAACAGAATATTGTAAAAAACCGCAACCCAAAAACCCATCCAAAGTTATCGGGATAGATCGTTTACATTGAAGATTATCCTGAAAACATCGAATGCATTCCACATCATCGCACTTACTTCTCTCGCAACAATTCTGGCAATTGTCATCAGCGCATCTACGGTGCTTTAAATAGAACCGACCGAGACGAAGTCACGGGAGGGTTATTATCGCGAGGATCAGGACCCGGTTACAATTTTTGACTGTGTG